ATTAGTGCATTTTATCCATTATGTCCGAAGTTAAAATTAAGATTTTCCTTAGATTTTTCCCTTAAACTAAAAAAATGTAAGTGACGACTCATTTTCAAAGAAAGCAATTAGATTAAATAGGATACTATGAACCCAACTCAAAATGAGCGTTCCAATTTCATATTTAATGGATTGACAAGGCACTTGAGTCAAGGCCTCATAGGCATCAATTCTTCTATGTAGTATTTAAGGCGCTGTTGGATTTGGAGAATGCTAAATTTAGAAAAATTTATAATGTTGGTTTGGAATATAGAGAATGCTCGCAATTGTTTTGTCTGGCAATCATTTCAACACTCTCCTTATTATGTCTCTAGTTTTGCTACTCGATATTTAAGAAAATGACTTTAAAGTTGCAGTTCAATTTAAAGTTCCTGGTAGGCCATTGGATCCTACTTCTCGTGCTACTAGTGTTGCTTGGTGTCCACAACCTGCGGATATTCTAAAAGGTAACATTGATGCTACTTTGTTTTCAGATAGTTAGGCGTAGGCATGGCCGGTTCAATGAACCGCCGGTTCGAGATGTTTAAAATTTTGAACCGGAACCGACCCTTGAACTTCCTGTTCCGGTCCAGTTCCGGTTCCGGCACGGTTCAGCACAGTTTGGCCGTTCAAATGAACCGCCGGTTCAGAAGATGTTTAAAATTTTTGAACCGGAACCGACCCTTGAACTCACTGTTTTGCGGTCCAGTTCCGGTCCGTGACAACACAGGTTATTCCAAGGCAGCAGTCTGGCGAACGCGACGGTTCAAGATACGGTTCCGATTGCGGTTCCTGGCATTAACGCAAAATTTGTAAGAAAAAAATATAAATTTTTGAATGATTCCGATAATTCATGAATAAAATAATTATTTAAATGTTTAAATTAATAACTAATAAATTATTATAAATTTTTTAACAAACAATATTTTTTATTTTTTATGACATAAAACGAAAAACTTCTTAATAACTTAGAATCAACTATTTATTGTTGAGCATTAAATTTAAACAAAGTGTGCTTAGCTAAAACCTCACTAATGATGAGCGAGAAGACAATGTAATAATTTATTTTTAAAGTTAGGGGCTTACACTACGGATCCACCACAGCAACAAATAGAGAAAATCCAAAGCCCACGAGCTTCTATTTTTTTTTGTCTGATATACCTGGCCGAGCAATAACCTCACCAAAGTTAATTACAACTAAATAGGAGTCGAGCCGGTCAGTCCATCTAGAGTCCCCCGGTTATATGAGTCCGGAAATCAATCATCAACTCGGCTTGATTTTGCTGGTCCTAAGTTCTCAAATGCCCGCTACTAGTGTATACCAATGTCGCGGCAGCACTGACTCATGCTCAGGGCAACGTCGTCAACAAATTTGATTCTGGTGGGAAAACTTATATCGCGTTCCTACTGGATCTAGAGATATAGGGGAGAGCATAGCACTAAAGCTTTGTTCCATGTCTGCAACAGTAGACATAAATGGACAGAACGCACGAAGAAATATCGTTCGGTGCCATTGCCAGCTAAGAAGACGGAAATGACGAATTTATGCACCTTTCAACTGGCAAGAAGAAGAAAGAGTAAATCCAGTTTTTCCACACAAATCGAAAAAGATAATCGTCATACAACTTAAATTACTCCAGCGCTTTTGAGCACTTCGCTTTCCTTGGAGTTTGTGAATGTGTGTCGATAAGTTTTAGAATGGTAGATATGGAAAAATAAATGAATAAGATGGAATATGAATATACATAGGAATTAGAAATTGGATTATGAAATAAGCAACTAATTAAGAAGAGGAGAGATATGATATACCATGGTTGTGAAAAAGAACAAAAAATCAACTCATCATATATTTATACATATTTTTGCATTATGTAGTTTCCAAAATTAGCCGTTACAACAAAAAAAAACAATTAATATTTTGGAATAAATTTAGTAAATTATATAAAGAGAATGAAAATTTTATTTACAAAAAAAAACTAAAAAAATTAAATGTTATTGACAATGACACCTGCTAGCCGTTTGAACCTTGAAAAAAATTGTGTAAAACAAAAGGTTCAACGGCTAGTGAAGATATTTTTTCATAAATGATAATATTTTATAAAAGGTTCAATGACGATGTTTTTTTATAAATGATGATGTTTTATAAAAAGTTTAATGATGATGTTTTTTTCACTACTTTTTATAAATTAAGTATTATTACATCAAATAATTTTATTTGTGAATCTGGTTCGAACCGGACCGAAACCGCCGGTTAACCGCCGGTTTCGGGCCGGTTCAGGTTCATTTTTTAACATTCACATGAACCTTAACCGGCCCGGTCCTTGAACCGTCGGTTCCGGTTCAAAATTGTTGAACGCCGATTTCCCTCGAGTTCGTCACAGTACGGTTGGTTCCGTAGAACCGAGAACTGTGGCCATCGGCCTAGTTAGATCGTAGATTCTTCTTTGTAGAAGGTGTTCGAGACCACGGAATATTTGGAGCTCGTTGTGTAAAGGTTAGCTTTCCTAGTCTTATTTCTGCCCTATAATAGAGAAAATAATGACTTTGCGAGAGGTATTGAAGATGGCTTTTATTTGAAAAGGGGTCCGCATATATTCCAAAAGTAGAATAATGCTTTCAAGTGTGCACTAAGATTGGCTAGTGAAAACAACGACTCAGCGAAGATTAATATGCCTAGAAAAATATAGGGGAAGAACACACACACGATGTGAAATGGAGTTTTTTATGAATCAATTTAGGCAGACATTATACGTAAGTGGTTTGTGGATTGAAAAGAGCAAAGATGATAAATTTGCCACGGTCCGTACTAGTTACTTTCTAGGGAGCAAATGTAGCTGATGCCCAGCTTTGTTTTGTAACGGGTGTCTGTATTCACCTTATGTCAATGGGAGGTAAGATGTCGTCACAAGTACTGCTATTAACGCTGAGTCATCTCTACATGAAGCTTTCTGCCGGCCTTCCTCTCACTGCAGTAAGATGAGAGAGAGTCTCTTATAGCTATAGATTATACGAATAGAGAATCTTCCATTAAAAAGCAATACTATGGATTTGTCATTCTAACAGACCAACCGATCTTGTGATACTTGAAATAATAAGTACAAAGAAAATTTGTAAGCTTGCTGCTCGTTCCGGGCCGGTTCAGGTTCATTTTTTAACATTCACATGAACCTTAACCGGTCCTTGAACCGTCGGTTCCGGTTCAAAATTTTGAACTGCCGATTTCAGTTCGTCTACAGTACGGTTTGGTTCCGGTTAGAACCGAACTGGTGGCCATGCCTAGTTAGACGATTCTCTTTTGTAGCGGTGTTTCGAGACCATTTTGGAGCTCTTGTTATAGGTTACTTTCCTAGTCTTATTTCTCCTATAATAGAGAAAATAATGACTTTGCGAGAGGTATTAAGATGGCTTTATTTGTAAACATGGGGTCCCATTATTCCAAAAGTAGATAATCTTCAAGTTGCTAATGTTCTAAACACTCAGGAAGATAATATCTAAAATTGGGGAAGACTTATTTTAGATGTGAAATGGTTTTTGAATCAATTAGGAATTATTTAAGTTTTTTGGATTAAAAGGCAAGAAAATGTGCCTGTCCATAGTCTTTCTAGGGGAGCATGTAGCTATGCCAGCTTTTGTGTTTGGAACGTCGCTCCACCTTTCATGGAGGAAGCTGTACTTACTGCTATTTCATCTTAATGAAGCTTCCTTTTCATGTTAAAAAAAAAGGACTCAATCCTATATATACATAGCATTCCAATTAAAAGCAATACTATGGATTTTGTCATTCTAACGACCAACATCTTTGATCTTTGAAATAATAAGTACCAAGAAAATTTGTAATGCTTTGCTCTACGCGGAAGCTCTAGGAAATAATATTCTATCTAAACTATCTTTATAATATTATTTTTATTTTGCATCTTATTTCAATCATAAAGTTCTATTTTTCATTCCACTTTACTAATTTTTTATACCATTTATTTTTTAATATCATATTTGATAGAATAAAATAATAAGCTAAGCACCTATAAATAATAAAACGAGGATCAAGATGTAAATATTATATCTAAGATATCCACATAACATTATTGGATTTTAGAAAATTAGTTGGGCAACACTCTCCATTTCTTAGCTATACAAAAAACCTTATAAACCAAAAAGAGATATACAGCATGGAGATCATATAGATTAATTCTGAATTTATCAATATTATTATTTTTATAGTAAAATATTAAATAAAAGCAAATAATTTATTATCATTTTTATTATATTATAAAAAATTGTCAAATATATTTAGAAATAAAAAATAAAAAATAAATAATTATAATAAGTACTAACGTGTAATAAACATTAAATACCAGTAATAGTAAATATATGGATTTTTCTTCACATGATAATTCCACGAGGCTCGGGGGAAAAAATAAAAAAATAAATAAATAAAATTAAAATTGAAATCAACCTAAGCCACAATTCATATCAATTAGATTCCTTTCAAAAAGAAAAATAATAAATACACCAATTAGATGAGGAATGGGTTTCATGAAAAGACCATGCAACCATCATATTGGCAAGGTCAAGAAAGAGGGATTGTTTGGTAAATTAAAGTGTAGACAAAAAGCATTAGCTAGCCTCTAGCGAGAAAACACGTCAGTTGACAACTTCATTGCCACACCAACATACCACACAACAAGAAATGACAGACATTGCAGCTCTAATGCAACTCCACGTGTCAAAATTCTGTCCATAAGATCCAAATGTCTGCTTAGGAAAGCACTAGCGAAAATATCTCGCCAAGCGCAACTAATATTATATCTGTCTATTTGGACCCACATAAAAAATATCAGGAAAATATCTAAATTAGATCAGAGCAAGTGAAAATGAAAGTCTTTTTGACCTTTAAATATGCACCACCAACTTAAGAGAGGGAAACACAGACCAATCAGCCAATACCTTTTGATCTTAGATTGGACGGCTGACTTGGCAACACGTGGACCCATGCAGTAGTGGTATCGAGATATTTTGCGTGTATGTAGCTGGTAGAATATTTTTGGCCCTACGATGCCAATGAACTTTGTTTAATAACCGTTAGATATGAGTTAAATATTAGAGGCGGTGAAGATTTCAGATATTTTATTTTTCAAGGTTGTGATCTTTTTTCTTTTTGAGCTGACGATTTTTAGCAGAGGATTTGTTCTGTGAAGGAGAGAGTTCGAAAAAATGGGAGAGGCAGTGATCAGTAGCGAAGAGTTTGAAATAGAGGAGGAGAAGAAGAGGAACGAGGAAGAAGAACAAGAAGGAGAAGAAGAAGGGCAAGAGGAGACGATAGGGAAGAAGAGGAAGGAAGTTAATGGCAGTTTGAGGAATGGAATGGCGGTGAAATGGTCGAAGCTGTTTCCGAGGATGGTATTGAGAGTATTGTTGGTGGAAGCTGATGATTCTACTAGGCAAATTATAGCTGCTCTGCTCAGGAAATGCAGTTACAAAGGTCAGTTTTTCTTTTTTTATTTTTTTTTGCTCTGTTTGGTAGAATTTTGTCTTTCTGTATTCCAATTTTTTAATTGGACGTGATTTTGAACTTTTGTGTTTCTGAATTGAGAAATGATTGATCTTTCAATATGAAAACTACGATCCTCAGTTTTTAGTTAGAGAAATTGAGTTTTTGTAATTGATTTTTTTTTCTTGTTTTTTTAGATGAGCAACGCGAAAAATATTTTCTTTTTTATTTTATTCTATTTTTCTGGCTTTAGCTTCTTCAATCTGAAGGTCAATTTGAAACAGTAGTTGCGAGGAAGATGGCTTCCCTTGTGAAGTCCTTGTTTTCGATTTTCTATGTTTGGCTTTTGCCAATTCACTATTAAAATCTACTTGTAAACGCAAAACTGTTTAAGGATAGCACTAGGACCAATAGCAGTCCCTCTTTCCAATTGCCAAAAAATAAATAAATAAATAAATAAAGAAACGAATATAAGGATAAGCAATCTTATCTTCACACGAAGCATTCTATGATGAGTTTTTTGAAAGGATATAATAAGAAGTACATGGTTAAATACCCTATTTTTAAGCGAATAAGAAGGAGAAGAAATAGAAGTGAATACCAAATAAATTTGACATGGTGTGCGCTTATAACCAGACTGTTAAAATAGAGAATTGACAGTGAAGTAATAGTTGCAGCTTTCTTCCTGTGGAATTGTGAGGAGTGCAGACCTGTTTTCTGACACCCATTTGGAACATTTAACAGTTCCACGCAAGTCACAACGATTTGCCAAATCTTTTCTTTAACCTTGTCAAATTTAAAGCTGCTGCATATTGGTCTATTTGATATTCTTTTTTTATATGTGGAGTACAGGATGCTATACTTGAAACTAAAATTTATTTGATTTTCTGTTTGAACAGTTGTTGCTGTTCCAGATGGCTTAAAGGCATGGGAGATGCTGAGAGGAAGGCCCCATAAAATAGACCTTATTTTGACAGAAGTTGATTTACCTTCAATATCTGGATATGCGCTTCTTTCTCTAATTACGGAGCATGAGATCTGCAAAAACATACCAGTTATAAGTACGATATGAATTAAACATTCTGTATTTACGGAAATTTATGGAAATTTTTCTCTACAGTTGTTAGCAAATTTAAAAGTATTGCTTTTGGTGATTGTGCAGTGATGTCCTCACAGGATGCAACTAATACGGTTTACAAGTGCATGTTGAGAGGTGCTGCTGACTATCTTGTTAAACCTATACGGAAAAATGAACTGAGAAATTTGTGGCAGCATGTATGGAGAAGACAATCTGTATGACTATTGCACAGTTTACTTTATCTTGTTTTCATGTTACTTGGAAGTTATGTTATCTTACATTCTAACCTATTTTTAATTTATTTCAATGGTTCTATCAGTCTCTTGCTGAGGTAGATGGCCTCCAAGATGAAAGTGTTGGACAGGATAAGGTAGAGGCTACTTCAGAAAATAATGCTGCCAGTAATCATTCAAGTGGCAACATGGCTTGTATTCAACAAAATAAAGAATTCATTGAGAAAGGAAGTGATGCTCAGGTTAGTGCTCTGTCAGTATACAGAAGTAAATGATTTATATAGTGTTTAACTATTGAAATCTACAAAAGAAATTGCCTGAATACGGCCTAAAACTTGTAGGACGTTCGTTTTTAATGTAGTCATCAAACTTTTAGAATGTGCAATCAATTCCTGTAACTTGTAGATTTCATTTATTCTAGTGTTTTGACCAATTATTGGTAAATGTGGTAAATGGCAATATCTAAAAGGAGCTTCCTTAATTTGATATCGTTAGTGATGGAGGGAGTGTGTTGAGTCAAACTTGAGTAGTGACTGAATGACTAAATTGAGCAAATATGATTCTAATTTGTTAACATGAGTGACTAATAGCTGAAGAGAATAAATCTGGAAGTTGAAAGATTTGATTCTACAAATCTAAGGACTCTTGAAAAAGTGTGCAAGTTTGAGTCAAGTTACTGCATAATCTCCAATTAAGATTTTCTTTTATGACTAGCAGTATGTGGGGCTTGGCATTAGATGAAAATGAATCCTTCCCTTGTGTTTTCTTTATGAACCCTGACATTGTAAAATTGTTGAGGGGAAAAAGTCAATCCATATCCAAACTTTCTGCCTGATAAGAGTATAAAGTTGTGGGAAATATATAACAACAGAAATAAGTAGTGCTAAGTTTATTCTTTGGTCATGTAGGACCTGAATTGGTTTTGCCAATACTTTGGCTCAAAAGCCTTTGGCAACTGTAATTTGACTTTGAGGTCCAAAAGAACCATGTGAAATAAATGGGTGAAAAATGCAGCCATGATAGAATAACCCTAGAATGGCTAAACGATGAGCAATTAATTCATTTAAATTTGAATATGCTCTAGAATTGTTGAAGATAATTGTGCAAATGTACTATGAATTTATTTGGTATCCACCTAAAATGATAACTGCCCTGAAATGGATGTTGCTCATGGGATAATTAATGGTTCTATTGGTCTATGTACTTTCTAGAACTTAAATATATTTACATTTTGGAATTCCACTTTGGTTAAAAGGAATTTCCTTTCAGTTTAGGTTGGATACATAAATTTTATGTAGAGACTGCATGTTTGCTGTCTCTTGCAGAGCTCTTGTACAAAGCCAGATGCAGAAGCTGAGAGCGCCCACATGGAAAATAAGCGGGACCTTTTATGGGGCAATTTTTTTCTGAATGGCATAAAAATGCAGAAACATGAAGCAATCACAAATTATGGTCAGAAATTGGTTATGCATGAGAATCAAGCCGGGGGTAAAACATTTTTGACAATATCATTCAGCATTATCATACATATAGGACTTTCCTTGGAAGAACTAACATTTTTTATGCATGTGCTATCTGAATAGGATCAGGTGTGGCTGCCTGCAAGGATTCTAACAGAATGACCGTGCATGAGGATATTGAACCAGAAAGTCAAAGGATGAATGCTAATGACATCCATGAGGCCTACGACAACAACCATGTCCACGTCAACTTTTCTAGAGAAGCTATTGATTTCATGGGAACATCTGCTAGTCACAATTCTTCGGACAATGTCAAAAGCAAGTTCGATATTTCTTCACACTTGGATCTGTGCTTAACAGGACATAATCCTAGTGGCTTTGAAATTCAACATCCAGAAGAAAGATGTACTCTCAGGATTTCTAATGCTTCAGCATTTACTCGGTGAGTTGCTTTCTCCATATGTTGTTTTCCTTTCACTCGAATTATGTGCAATTACTTGAAAGACAAATTGATTTTGTCAATGAATGTGTGCGTGTTTTCAGTAGTTGAGGCATTTCTTAAAACCAATGGATTCAAAACCAGATTTTCCAGAAAAGATTAATTGATACAAGTTAATCATTTCTCTAGAATGTGGAGGGTTTATCAAGTATTTTTGCTGATTGTTGGATAATGTTTCTTTACTTACATTCCAAGTGTGAACACTTCAAATGATGCTTTATGCAGGTATTCCAACAGGCAATCACAGCAGTTACATTCAACATTGGAAACCGTTCAAAAGGATGCTAATCCTGGGAGAAAACCATCCAGCACTTTTAGTGTGTATAACACTGATAACCCTGGTCCATCACCAAATACAGAAAGAAGTAATGCCTCTATAGCTAATATTAAAACCAAAGAGTACGAAATTGTAATTCCTTGCTCTCAACAAAGAGTATTTCCACTACATATTCCAGTCAATGGTATGAGCTTCAATAACCTATGTACCAACTATGGTTCTGTATTTCCTCCAATTTTCTGTAAACAATCTGGTGCATCACCTATACCGAGTCCAAGTTCATGCAGCCAGCCAGAGCCAACCTCTAAAGTGAATGCATTTCCTCAGTCTACTTTGAGGAGTAACTCCGATCAGCTCTATGATTGTCTTGGTCAAACTGCAAAAGATTCCACTAGTCCATCTCTTCAAAAGCAGGATCACAAGTTGGATTCTTTGGAGGATCGAGGACATATTTCTGCTGCCACTGATCATAGTGCAACTAGCAGCTTCTGCAATGTTAGTGCAACTCATCTTAACATGGGCTATGGAAGCACTTCTGGGAGCAATAGCAATGTGGATCAGGCTGCTATTATCAGGACTACTTCAGAAAGAAAAAATGAAGGTGGTATTTTACATAATGATGCAAATTCACATCGAGCTATACAAAGAGAAGCAGCTTTAACAAAGTTTCGCTTGAAGCGGAAAGATAGATGCTACGAGAAGAAGGTATCTTGTCTTCATGATTGTGTTCTCATCTTCCCGATAACCATCACTCTCAACAGTTGATCATCATCATTATAGCAATTAATGCTATGCAAATGGTTAATGCATCAAACATATTAGAAGAAGTGCATTTATTAATTATTTTCTTTTCATTTTGGCAAAACTTTTTACAGGTTCGCTATGAGAGTAGGAAAAAACTTGCAGAGCAACGGCCTAGAGTGAAAGGTCAATTTGTTCGTCAAGTGCAACTCCCAATTTCAGAAACTGAGCAGTAACATGGAAATTCCATTGATCGGTAGCTACCATGTTCAAACTGTTAATTCGCGTGGACTCCATATCATAGATTTTCGAGTAGATAGTGATAGTTTCTGCCTTTTAGTTTGGGAGTTCAAAGATAAAAAATGGGAAGAAATAAGAAAAGAGTCTCAGGTGTTTCTGGAATAATTATCCAAATAGTTCCTTCCCTAATGTTGTAGAGAAACCTGACAGAAAATGTAAGTAAGGGATAGTGGGGTTCCTTGCTAACTTGTTACCTGTGAGCCATTTCAGATCCCTTCCTCCTTTCTACATCTTTATCTTCTTTGTGGGATTATCCCTATCTTGTGCAGAATAGGTTGTAGTTTCATAGATTATAGGTTTTCTTTTGTGTAGTTTGGGAAGGGTTGTCTGAAGTCACTTTCACTAAGGTTTTACATTTAATTTTCTACATTCGAGTATTTAGTATATATGAGCTTTAGAGGAGACTGACTGACTAGTAGTGGCTTGATGTTCTTTAAAGACAGCTGCTTGCTCAATTTTTGGGTTTTTTCTGATTGAGCTTTATGTAATCAACGATACTGGTGGTGTTGAAGCAGAAAGGACAAACAAGTCTTTTTTTTGTTCACTCTTTCTCCTGTCTTTCTTTATTCCTTGTAATTTGTTGATTATGTTGCTGATAATTTTGTAAAAGCATTATATCAACTACAGATACTGGGCAGGTTGACGAACCCAGGACAAACATGTGGTTAAATATATACGTATTCCATGTATAACTTGAAATGTGAAAAGTTCTAGCAGCTACATAGTTTTAGTTTGACTGATTTTTTAGTGTCTTTAATTGCTTCCGCCGTACTCAATAATTTTGTGTTATATAGCACTTGGGCACAGCTAATTGGATCTGATGATCCATTCAGTGAGCAATTTTTGTGACTTTATTCTTTTTTTTTTTTTTTTAATATAAATTGATTTCTAAATCATAGTTAAATTAACATATAAATACTCCTTTGAAAAAAAATGATGATCTTGATTTATGATTTTATTCACACCTGGGCAGTTAAGTTCTTTTTTCAGTCAATTATCAGTCATTATTCGAGGGGAGAATCAGAGTGTTCATAGAATGATAAGGTCGGGTCCGTTTATCTTTCATGAGTGTGTTTATATTCATCCATTAATTTCAACATCTCTTACTCGCACATGATGAGACATGACTCGTCCAAAATTAGACATTAATATACATTTAGCAAATAGATAGTGTGACTAGCATACTTCGAGAGTTCTTTGTTATACACTTATTAGGGATACATAGCATTTTGATGGAAAAAAACCCTTTCGAGTAGAAAAGTATCCCTGCTTCATATTATTCAATACATTTATTATTGCCATTGATTTCATAACATTTTTCATATTCACAATTACATTATAATTGGTCAATCTGCAAACACAGAATTTAAATATAACTGAAACAATAATTTAATTCTCTCGATCATAATCCAACTTCCTTTTCTAGAAGTATCCCATAGGATTGCATCAATCATGATTTTTTACCAATATGTTAAGATAATAATCATTGAATTATATCCTAAGAATCAACCAAAAGTCATAAGGATACTAATTTTGAAAACTATAATTCTTATAGAGTCGCACATAACCAAAAGTTGAAATCACTTATTTTGGCAACTTATTTAGTCTTCATTTCACATATGTGGTATGATGCACAAGTCATAGTGTTATTCTTTCTCCTTTCATACATCCTCTACAGGGGGCTTGACCATTCAATATCCAGAGCTCTGAAATCTTGGCACCCATCACTTCTTAAAGGCTTAAAAGCTTAAGCAATCTATAAAGTTTTCCGATTACCCCAAATAAATTCGTTCATGACAAGTGGCCTCTACCTTCTAGGGAACCTTGCTATAATGTCCAACAATCTTACTTTGGTTAAAGTGTTTCCTAAATTGATCAATGAACCTTGCCTAAATGCTTTCACACTTTGGGTAACCACCTTCCAAACTTGACCCTCACTGTATAGGAAACAACTCCCCTTCCAAATTGGAACCACACCAATAAGGTAATCACTTTTCGAAACATACCCACGCCAATTTGGATAACCACATTCCAAAATAGACTTGCACCTATTAGATAACCACTTTCCCAAATGGACTCTCAAATTTTGGGGAAACCACATCCTAAATTTTAGGTAGCTTTTATCCTATACCTTAAGAAGCGTTTTTTAATCCCATTTACCATAGAGAACATAAAATCTTAACCATTTGTGTAACTTTGCAAACACCATACCATTTGAAGCCCTTGTGTCCTAAGGCAAGTGGGGCTATGTTTGACGACAACGCCAATATAGCTAGAGTGATTACAGAGTATTATAAAAATTTATTCTCTTCAGCTAACCCATCTGATTTTGATGATGTCTTGGATACAGTGGAGCCAAAGGTTATTATGGAAATGAATGACTCGCTTGTGAACCATACGAGAGGGAGAAAGTTTTTTTTGCTTTGAAAAAGATGCACCCCTCAAAAGCTCTAGGTCCTGATGGTATGCCCCCCTTTTTTTCCAAAAATTTTGGAATATTATAGGCTTTAGTATTGAAGATAAAATTTTATCTGTTTTGAATAACGGAGTTTCTCTTGAATCTCTTAACCACACTTTTATCACTCTAATTCCAAAAATTAAAGACCCAGTCTGCAATAATGATTTTAGACCTATTAGCCTCTGCAATGCCATTTTTAAAATCATCACTAAAGTTATAGTTAATAGGTCAAAAATTATTCTCCCTTATATCATTCATGAAGCTTAGCCTGCTTTTGTTCGAGGTAGACTTATCATAGATAATGTTCTATTAGATTTTAAGACTTTCCACTTTATGAAAAATAAATGATTTGGTAGAAAATGTTACTTTGCATTAAATTTAGATATGAGCAGAGCGTATGATAGAGTTGAGTGGTGTTTTTTTGGAGAAAACTATGCTTAAAATGGGCTTTAATGCTAGTTGGGTCCTGGTTATGAAATGCATGATACTGTGTCTTATTCTATCTTGCTTAATGGTGAACCTCAAAAAGTCTTCCACCCTCAAAGGGGACTTCGACAAGGTGATCCACTGTGCAAAGGTCTTTTCGGCGTTGATAAGGTGAGCAAAAAATTCAAGACAATTACATGGTATCCATATTTGTAGACGAGCTCCATCTTTATCTCATCTGTTTTTGCAGATGACAGTATCAGTTTTGTTAGAGCTTCTCATAATAGCATTAAAAGGTGATCCAGATTATTTCTGATTATGGGAGAGCATTAGGACAGTATGTGAACATGGAGAAATCCAAAATTTATTTTAATGCTAACATTGCTATGGAGTTGCAGGATTCAATTTGGGATAGGCTTGGAGTAAGAAGAGTGGACCATCATGTTAAGTATCTGGGTCTACTTGTAGTCATATAGAGAGACAAGAAACAGACGTTTAGCAACATCATTGATAAAGTTGCAAAAAAATTGAAAAGCTAAAAAGAAAACTCTCTCTAAAGCAGGGAAAAGGGTGCTTCTCAAAGCTGTGATCCAATCCATCCCTACTTACACAATGAGTTGTTTCTTGTTGCCACAGGATACTTGTAGCAAGATCGAATATCTCATGAGCCACTTCTGATGGCGTCAAAAAAATGAGGAAAGGAAACCCATTGGTCTCAATGGTGTAGGCTATGTTTTTCAAAGCAGGAAGGGGGCTTAGGTTTCTGAAACCTCCATTGTTTTAATCTATCCATGTTAGCTCGACAATGTTGGGGGCTAGCCACGGATGAGTCATCGGTCCTAGCTCGTTTCTTCAAGGTGAGATACCATCATTCTAGGTCCTTTCTTGATGCAAAATTAAGATTTCAGCCGAGTTTTGCATGGCGTATTTTGTTAGAGGGGCGTTGGATAGTTCAAAACGAGTCATGATGGCTGGTTGGTGATGGATGGAATATTCGCATTTAGCTTGATAATTGGCTCCCTCGTCAACCAGAGTTTCGAGTTCACTCTTACCCACAAATTTTCAATGCCCGCACTACGGTTAATGAGCTAATCGATAATAAGACAGGGTATGGAATTCTCAACTCATAAATTCAGTTTTTTTTGCCGACCGAAGTGGCTGAGATTTGTAGTTCTCTTGTCTAGTAGTAGAAACACTGATATTTTTATGTGGCCTACCAACTGCAATGGTTTCTTTTTGGTAAAATGTCCATACTATATTGTTGTGAATTTTATTGCTAGATGAGATGTTGCCAGTTCTTTAACCACCGATGATACATAGTTTAGGAAGTATTTGGAAACCTCACATTCCAGCTAAAGTCAAGCACTTAATGTTTCATGCATCTCATGATCAATTACCCTCTAAAACTGAGTTGTCAAAACACAAGGTTGAGTTGGACCTGATTTGTGATAGATGTGGAGAAACGATAGAGTCATTATTGCATGCCCTTATTTAGTGTCTGATTTCACAGAAGGTTTAGACCCTTAGCTTTCTCAGGCTTCGGCCAAATATCATGTCATGTAGCTTTAAAGAATGATTTACTTTCATCTCCAGTAATTTTATACCGGAACATGTCGAGCTCTTGTTCATGGTAGCTTGGGCAATATGGAGGAGTAGAAATTTGTGGCTTCATCAGGGAAAGAAGTTGACAGAACTGCGGATTCTCAACATGGCTCTTTCATTATGGTCTGAATGTAAAAACTTTAATGCTACCTAGATCGTTTTGTCCAGAAATTATTTAATAGGAAAAACTGTTAACGGAAGCGTACCTTTATTCATAGCCATTGATTACCTCATTGGCTTAATAGGAAAAACTGTTAACGGAAGCGTACCTTTATTCATAGCCATTGATTACCTCATTGGCTTATTCGATTCTTACTATTGCCGGAGATCCGTGTCTTATTCACTCTGGCCTTTTGTCCGTACACTTCTCTTAATGGTAAGAGATTAATCAACAGCAATGGGAGTTAATCTTTGCACGTTCTCTCAAAACAACCTGTTATTGCTATGCGTTTTAAGATAGTCGTCACCCACTCTTAATCTTTTCGCTGTTGATTTCCTTTTCTTTTATAAGGCAGAGGAAGGGTATTAAAACCCTAACTGGTTCTCATCCCATTAAGCCCAATAACCATCATCTTGGGCACCTTAATTAGAATCAACCCTTTAATTACATGGGCCACATAGATTATTAAAATAATCTAACAATCTCCCACTTGGGCCATGTGCATTTCTTGAATTTATTATATTAGCTTTAATTAGAATTGAAGTGATTGGATTATGGCGGTCACAAGTCATTAATCGACATGATTCCTACCATATATCACAGACCATCTCAATTCATAAATACTTAATTGAGAAATGATGCAACAAATAATACATTGTTACAATCAACATTATTGTTATCTCACTTAAACCATTCTTGTATACATCTATAATGTGGATAACAGCAAAACATATCTTTAATTGAATTTCCAAGTGTCACAATAATATGAGCAAAATAACCATTTGTATATATACATACAAGTTTGAATATCATACTAACAAGGACTTATCTACAACACCCATCCTTTCAACATGGCCAGTGAAGATTTTGGGTGGTAATCCTTTAGTTAGCGGATCTGCTATTATCATATCAATACCAATATGCTCAATTGACCCTTTATGTTTTTGCACTTCTTCTTTCACTGATAGGTATTTTAAATCCATCTGTTTTGCACCCTTAGAATACCTATCGTTTTAAGAGAAAAAAACAGCTCCGAAATTATCACAGTAAATTCTCAACGGTCTAGCTATACTATCAATAATGCCTAGAC